CATACCTGGACCTGTGGAGCTCTCACGTACAAAGTAATATTAAGGCCCTAAATAAGACCGTAATAGGCCCCGAAATCGTACTCGCGTGGATTCGTGGCGACACATCAGTTTCGAGCGGAGCACGCGAAACTGATACGCTGAGCCATGAATCCATGCGAGTACCGGGTCCAGTTTGGAGGCCAATATTCTTAGCCGTGAGTGCACTATTTGAGTTGCCGCTTGGACAGAGTCTTATTTAGGGCCCCAAGATTACTTTGTACGTGAGAGCTCCATAGGTCCAGGATTGCCTGGACGTTGCCTTTAAACACTGCCTATAAATTCCACCACACAATCCTAGCGCCCACATTCGATGGGTAGGCTTGGCTGGTGGAACTTTGAAGCACATAGAACTTAACGCTTATTCTATCTAAGGTCCATTTCAATTACACACTAAATGAATACATAGGGCTTCTTTCTGTTTTTCAAATCCGTTACAATCATCGCTATCGTCTCGTGAACTCCACTTTGCCGTGATCAACCTTTTCTCCCCAGATCAATCAAATTAACTTTCAGTTGACATGGCTGACGCTGCAACTGAATCTGCTCCTGCTCCGGTGAGTAATATCATTTGAATATCGAAGGTTTTTTTTTGAACTGAATTTCAATGAAGTCGCGGTCAAAGAACTACCAATCGATTGAACCCATGCATGTCATATGTTTTGCGGGGATACTAAAACTTGCATGACTCATTTCTGAGACTATCGTCATTGTTTTCTAGACGGAAACACCGGCAGCTCCTACTGAGACAGCACAACCTGCAGTAGAATCCATGGAGACTGGAGAAGCTCCGGCGGCACCGGCAGGGACTACCACAACAGAGGTAAAAAATTGTGTGCGGGGTTTGGGAATTTTTAGCTCCCTCTTTTCTTATGTGTTGTATGTACATGTACCATCAGGTTGTTTACGATAATTGAACAAGTTATGTTTTCATTTTCTGAAGTTGGCTTTATTTGAATGTCTATACTGCAGTGTATCCGGTCAGTTATGACAATTCAGGAAGCTGCACCTGCTGCTCCAGCTCCTGCAGCTCCT